TTCACATAGGTATGTGAAAAACAACAGCTTGCTGAGAAGAGTCAGTCACTCGCTCTCGGGTAAGACTCATGGGAGGGTGAGGTTAAGACCAGGGAATAGGAGAAGAATAGTGGGGGGAGAGGAAAGAGCTTAACTCAGTCGGGGGGCATCGAGTTGGCAGCTTCCAGGGTTGGTCTCATTCTTTGTTTACAAGCTCCTCACAGGCACTGTATCAGTAGACTGGGTGGCACCGAGGTAATACACGTGAGGTTCACAAACTCCCTGGCCTGTGTTATGGAGGGGTTGTGGAGATGGAAGAGGTTGGCATTTGGGCTGGGGTTATGTGGTGGATTAAACGGACGTCTTTATAAACCACAAGAGTCAGTTGTGTGAGTGTATGTGTGTGTGAAGAGACATGGGCTGGGCTTTCAACTATGCCTCCTTCCGCCATTTACAGCCCAACTAACACCTGGCTGTCTGGAGGATTTCATCTCCAGTGAGGATCTGTCAGTGTGGTGCGAGGGAGGAAGGTACCCGCCGGCCAAGTACACTTAATTAAACAAGACACCTTAGGTGTTCAAGGTATAGAGAGAGAGAGAGAGAGAGAGAGAGAGAGAGAGAGAGAGAGAGAGAGAGAGAGAGAGAGAGAGAGAGAGAGAGAGAGAGAGAGAGAGAGAGAGAGAGAGACAGAGACAGAGAGAGAGAGAGAGACAGAGACAGAGAGACAGAGACAGAGACAAAGGCAGAGAGACAGAGACAGACAGACAGACAGACAAACAGACAGACAGAAACACTTCCCTCTCCACCACTTCCCTCTCTTCCACTTCCCTCTCCACCACTTCCCTCTCCACCACTTCCTTCTCTTCTCCACTTCCCTCTCTTCCACTCCCCTCTCCACCCCTTCCTTCTCTTCCACTTCCTTCTCTTCCACTTCCCTCTCCACCACTTCCCTCTCCACCACTTCCCTCTCCACCACTTCCCTCTCAACCACTTCCCTCACCACTTCCCTCTCCACCACTTCCCTCTCCACCACTTCCCTCTCAACCACTTCCCTCTCCACCACTTCCCTCTCCACCACTTCCCTCCCCACCACTTCCCTCTCCACCACTTCCCTCCCCACCACTTCCCTCTCCACCACTTCCCTCTCCACCACTTCCCTCCCCACCACTTCCCTCTCCACCACTTCCCTCCCCACCACTTCCCTCCCCACCACTTCCCTCTCCACCACTTCCCTCTCCACCACTTCCCCTCCCCAACTTCCCTCCCCACCACTTCCCTCCCCACCACTTCCCTCCCCACCACTTCCCTCCCCAACCACTTCCCTCTCCACCACTTCCCTCTCCACCACTTCCCTCTCCACTTCCCTCTCACGTCACTCCTAACTAAATTAATGTTTGAGAGTTATCTCCTTATTTTTGCTATTTATTCTCCGAAGATCAACGAAAGTATTGACATTTGCCGCAGGTGGTTAGTGTAGCTGCTGCTCTCAGCTGGTGGCAGTGCTGGTGTTCCCAGCTGTCTACAAAAGATGATACGGTGCCTTGGTTTATGTCTCAGTTTATATCAGATCAGACATGAGAATGAGAAGAACAAATGAAACGAGTACAGCGCCTCTGGGTTCTCTTTGTTAGGAAATTAAATATCCATCTTCCTACTTTTCCAGTTACTCCTTTACTCGCATTCTTTGTGCAGTTACTCCATGGTTGCACCTGTCAAAGGCTTTTACAAAGTTTATTATGTATATAACTTCGCATTTTGTTTGTCTTCCAGTGCATCCAATGGTCCAGTAGTTGAGAGAGGCATGAAAGACCTATGCAACTGTTGTGAATCCATGTGGATAGCAATCTTGCTTTCTTAAACCCTTTTAAGGGCTTTTATAATGCGAGACTATAATTCTTGCTATTGCTTTTATGTCATGTTCGTGGGGTGGGGGATATAACCATTGTTTTTAATGACAGTGGGAAGACCCCTGTGTTTAGGCTCCTTCTCCAGGTAGGTGATATGGGAGTTCCATGAACCTGATGAACACGGAGTTCCCAGAGTCTCGGCATGGTTCACAGTGCAAATAAATGGTATAAAATACCGACACAATTGAATTATAAACACTTAAGCGGTATAATGTGATCCTTTATTGACAACGTTTCGTCCACACAGTGGATTTTATCAAGTCACAAACAGATCTGTTTGTGACTTGATGAAGCCCACTGGGTGGGCGAAACGTTGTCAATAAAGGATCACATTATACTGAGTAAGTGTTTATAATTCCATGGTTCAGAGTGCCTGAACATGTCAATAACTTTTTCGAAGTCAAGTGGGGTTAGGGTTATGTCAAAAATTTTGGATATATTGACAAGGTCTTTAGTCTCGTTCATGAAAAATTCGTTCAGATCTTTGACCTTTAGTAAAATTACCAGCTCACTGAACACAAGAGTTATATTATGGCTTCAGCCAATGATGATCCTTTTTAAATCACTTGTTCTCTCTAGGCTGAAATACTGTTGTACACTAACATCTCCATGCAAGGCAGGTGAAATTGCAGATCTAGAAAATGTACAGAGAACCTTTACTGCACATATATGTTCTATCAAACACCTTAACTACTGGGAACGCTTGGAAGTGCTTGACTTGTATTCACTGGAGCGCAGGCGAGAGAGATACATCATAATCTACACTTGGAAAATCCTAGAGGGACTGGTCCCTAATCTGCACACAGAAATCACTCCCTATGAAAGCAAAAATACTTGGCAGGCGATGCAACATACCCCCAGTGAAAAGTAGGAGCACCATTAGTACACCAAGGGAAAACACAGTAAGTGTCCGGGGCCCAAGACTGTTCAACAGCCTCCCACCAGCAATAAGGGGAATTACCAATAGACCCCTGGTTGTCTTCAAGAGGGAGCTGAACAGATACCTAAAGTCAGTACCCGATCAGCCGGGCTGTGGTTCATCTGTTGGACTACGTGCGGCCAACAGTAACAGACTGAACATTAAAATGGTATAAAATACCGACAGGTTGTTAGGTAAGACACATATGCAACAGTTAGGTATCTTTATTATGAAACGTTTCGCCTACACAGTAGGCTTCTTCAGTCAAGTACAGAAAAGTTGATAGAAGCAGAAGATACTTGAAGACGATGTAATCAGTCCATCACCCTTAAAGTATCTTCTGCTTCTATCAACTTTTCTGTACTTGACTGAAGAAGCCTACTGTGTAGGCGAAACGTTTCATAATAAAGATACCTAACTGTTGCATATGTGTCTTACCTAACAACCTGTCGGTATTTTATACCATTTTAATGTTCAATCTGTCAGACACTGCAACACAAGGGTATCTTGGTACAGACCTGCAATCAACTTCGACAACTTCCACTAGTGAGAGGGGCTGGGTTTGAGAGGGACCTAACCTTTCAACATCTGAGTTCTTACCTCTCCTAGTGGCCTACGTCTCACCTCCTGGCGCTATAAAAGCTCCATCCTGTCACTTCTTCTCCATATTGTTTCATACTATGGAACAATGCTCTTCTCCAGACTGAGGGACTGACCACCTCAAAACTTTAAGGGTGATGGACTGATTACATCGTCTTCAAGTATCTTCTGCTTCTATCAACTTTTCTGTACTTGACTGAAGAAGCCTACTGTGTAGGCGAAACGTTTCACAATAAAGATACCTAACTGTTGCAGTAACAGACTGGTTGATCAGGCTCTGATACACCGGGAGACCTGGTCATGGACCGTGCCGCGGGGGCGTTGACCCCCGGAATACCCTCCAGGCAGGAAGTTCCATCTGCATGTGGTTTTTAATCTGTATTTTTGCATATAAAAACCATTTTCAATTTCTTGGAAATTTATTAATTGTTTTATAGTTCTGTCTCCTGGACTCTGATTCACTCAACAGTAGTTCTATATCTTGTGTTTCTCAAGCCAGCGCTGCCTTCCGCCCCTCACACAGTCTAGCACTAACAAACATCAACACTAATCTAACAACAACCACAAACATTATCTAACAAGCCCCACCACCACAAGTCAACAAGTATCTTCACTACAAACCAATATGCACCGCCACCACACTCCAACAAACACCACCAACACAGGCTAACAAGTAGCAGCAACCAGCAACCACAATTCTAGCGGTGCGCCATTCAATTCAGAGCGTAATTGTGTAGCAGAAGTCGTCCAGCAGTTGTGGACGCTTGCAACCCCAGCTGTACGGGTAGCGTAAATCTTTGCGTAGCACAGCAGTTGTAACGTTCACCTCCCTCCCTCACCCTGACCATCGCCCTTCTCTCCCTCATTCACCCTGACTACCCACCCCCTCACCTCTCATTACAGCATGTGTGATCTCCCTGACCGAGAAAAAGGGTAAGAGAGATAATAGGGAACGAAGAATAGAAAAGAAAGGAAACGATAAAAGACGGATTACAGTATAGAGGGAGACAGAGAAAATGGGAAGATGGTACTGAGGGAGGAAAGAGAGATAGTAAGGAGGGAAGGAGGACGAGAGGCAGAGAAGGAATAATAAGAGATAAGTTAAACTAGGGAGGAGAGATAGCCACGAGAAGGCAGGAGAAACTAAAGAAGAGAGGAAGGATAAAATAAGGAGTAAATAGTGAAGGAATGTACCGTAAGGAAGATTAGGGAGATGGTGCAGGTCCTTCAGTCAGCCAACCAGCCAGCCAGTCAGCCAGTCAGCCAGCCAGCCAGCCAGCCAGCCAGTCAGCCAGCTACCCAGCCAGCCAGCCATACAGCCAGCCAGTCATTCAGCCAGCCAGCCAGCGATTCAGCCACCCAGTCATTCAACCATTCAGCCAGCCTGCCAATAATAATAATAATAATAATAATAATAATTATTATTATTTATTATTATTATTATTATTATTATTATTATTATTATTATTATTGTGGTAAACCCATGTGTAACAGTTTACATCAACACATCCTAAGTACAAAACTTTTAAATCAAACTTTTGTTTAATAAAATTGTGAAGGGCATTATTTAAGTGTGTTTATTTTTATGTTTTCAGGAGAAGAGTGCGGCAAGTTAGAGGAGAAGAGTGCGGCAAGTTAGAGGAGAAGAGTGCGGCAAGTTAGAGGAGAAGAAATGGAAGAGAGGCGACACAGGCGACGTGTAGTGATGAACGGGAAGTGAGGAAGCAAATGAGGTTAAAGTGCTGGTTGGAAGTGTAATGGCTGAGGTGGTAACTAAGAAGTGAAGTGTAGGGTGAGAGAAGTGAAGGAGGTGGTGTGGACGCATGTCATATCCTCGTTACCTTGACAACCCAGCCTCCTGGTAGACATCACAAACCTGCCATTACTACTACCCCCCAGTCTACTACTACCTTAGTAGACATCACAAACCTTCCATCACTACCACCCCTCAGTCCACCACTACTACATTCTTTGCACCACCAGTTTTATAAGTCTGTCAATAACTATGCATAGACAACTGTGAATGGCATTCTTGATGCTGAATATATAAAGAGAAAAATAAACATTTTGGATGAGTAACACACAATGTTCTGACACGAGTGAAGAAAAAACTATGGAGTCGGGAAAGTGAAGAGTGGAGTTGATACTGCAGGCAGTGTAAGATGGTTATACCTAGAGGAGAGCAATGAGGAAAGTGCCAGTGGAAGTGAGCAAGTGTTGATGTAAGGTGGAACAAGCCAGGACACTGACCACTGTCTTCCACCATGGAAAGATACCTACTGCCTCCCTCTCTGCTGTTTCTGCTGCTGCTGCTGCAAGGCTGCTTAGCCCTGTGGCTCGGTAAGTGCTCTCCTGACTGCGTGTGTGTTTTGTGCAGTAAAGCTGCTGCTGTTTTTGCAAGAAAGTTTAAAGTAAAGCGTTTACATACTGACTGTTTGCAGCAGTGTTAGAAGCTCGTTAAATCTCTTGAAAGCTCAGACCAACTTCAGCATACAACTGCCCAAGACAAACAACGTCTGCATAAAAATAGTTTGGTGATTCTTGTGCAAAATTATTCTTGTAGGTTATTGCCCTTATGCACGGAGCAACTCTATATATATATATATATATATATATATATATATATATATATATATATATATATATATATATATATATATATATATATACACACACAAACACTGATCTCTGGCTGAAGGAGACTCGAACCTACGAACCTTGGAACAAGGTACGCAGTGCTTTACCAATCTACCCACACTGGACCTAAAGCACTGGTAAAGCACTGCGTACCTTGTTCCAAGGTTCGTAGGTTCGAGTCTCCTTCAGCCAGAGATCAGTGTTTGTGTATATTTCGCCTGCTCTTGCGAATTCCTTGCATATATATATATATATATATATATATATATATATATATATATAATATATATATATATATATATATATATATATATATATATATATATATATATATATAGTGCAAGGGTGGCAGTTCGGTCGAAAAAACTCTTATAGGTAATTTCTTATTCTCATAATATGGAGAGATTCTTATTACATAATAATAATAATAATAATAATAATAATAATAATAATAATAAAGGTTTAGAGTTGAATTTAAGATGCAGTGTGACGGTGTGTGTGTTTACGCAGGGGAATGTAACAAGCCGCTGGGAGTGTCCACTGATGAACTTCACGACTCTGCCCTGACAGCTTCCTCTGCCCACGACCACATTGTGGGTCCTCACAGAGCCAGGTAAGTAATCACCTGTACATGACTGGTATACAATACCCACAAGATGAAAATTAGAAACATATGCAATATCTGGGTATCTTTATTGTAGATGTTTCGAAAACCAGTGGCTTTATCAATAGAAATTCAAGAACATATATGGAGGTAATCAGTCCCTCAGCCAGGGCTAAGGGACTGATTGTCCTATGGCTTCAATTTATGTTCTTAAATTTGTATTGATAAAGCCACTGGTTGGCAAAACGTCTACACAGCTCTTACACATGTCTAATTTTCATCAAATAATCACCTATTTCACTTTGTTGGGAGTTAGTTCTAGCTCTTGGTCCCGCTCCCTCGCGTAATGAGGCCAGGCATGGGGAGTCTCTATGTAACCGAGGATTCAATATATCTTAGAAGTTTTGTCTATGGTGATGCTTTGTCTATTTCTAATGTAGTTAGACGTAACCCCCAGTAGACCTACTAATTCTCTTGACAGGTTTTCTTTTGATAAAGGCTAATAAGACAGGAGACATTTTTTCTGATTAAGACATAACAAAGACAACTTACAACATTATTTTTTTTATGGAACTGACACCTCTGAATCATCGTCTTGCAAGGTTCAATGAATGATACCCACGGTACTGGGTATCATTCATATGAACATAAGAAAGGAGGAACACTGCAACAAGCCTACTGGCCCATACAAGGCAGGTCTTTATCAAAATCACCAATTCTCACTCCATTGTGTCAGTATTTGCCCTCATACATAGTGACCAATACTGTACACAACATAACAGTCACCGACGACTTGACTTTCTTGAATCGAAACACAAAATTTTCACCAATAAAGTGTAAAATTATCTAGATTTAAGATTATTAGTCATTATTATACATTATTCATGAAAAGTGAGGTGAAAAGTGAACCTTATGGCATGATATATGTATCTTTTCCTGTGTGTTATGTGTGTGTGTTAGCACTCGCCTCGGCTGGAGAAAAGTGTAGCGAGTTTCTAGTTGCATCACCAGACACGTATCATGAGAGGTAAGAAGGTGGAGGCTTCTATCACATTACTTCTGGTGTCTCCACTCACTCTCTTCTTTATTAAACTCAGTAAACATCTCTCAGCCTCAGGGAAAATATGGAACACTGTTCAGAGGATGACAAACAGAAATGTCGCATAAATATGATGCAACGAATCTTACACGCAAAATCGTGAAAAGTTTCACATTTTTTTCGAGGCTTGGTCATGGACTGGGCCAGGGGCGTTGACCCCCGTAACACCCTCCAGGTATACTCAGGTATACACAATAATTCTTAATTATGTATGGTTTCCTTTAAAAATTAGGTGTGTGTGTGTTTTATAAGGTGTGACATGGTGAATATGATAAAGGTATACAGTACCGACATAATGAAAAGACACACGTGCTACAGTTAGGTATTTTTATTCCAAAACATTTTGCCTACACTGTAGGCTCCTTCAGTCGAGTACAGATGAGGCAGTAGAGATGTAGAGACGATATAACCAGTCCATCATACCTGAAGGCGTAGTTTTGAGGTAGTCAGTCCCTCAGACTAACCACCTCTATTATCTGGAACAATGTTCGAGATATCTAACTGTTGCGCATATGGTGAGTAAAAACAAACCATACCACGGGCGGGAATAGAACCCGCGATCAGAGAGTCTCAAAACTCCAATCGTGTCATTACGATTTCGTGAGTCAGTGAGTAAAAACAGTTATCCAGAGACTACAGGGTGTGACTGATGGAATTCGAACAAAACCTGCCTCCAATACCACACAATACATACTCCTAAAAGGGGGGGAAAAAAAAACTCGCTGCTCACCCAATTTACAACCGTGAATATACGGATATAGTCTCACTCCTGGCAGGATATAATACTTAAGGGGCACGTCAGTTCCCCTATCTTCTAATATGTTACTTTTCCCTATAATCTACCTTGACCATAATTACTATCCCATTTGCTTTGTCTGCTTTCGTAAGGTGAAATCTAGGATCTTTCCTTAATTCATGGTATGACTTCGTAAATTTTTGAGGATAATTGTGTTGCAGAGGTGTGAGCAAAGCTTAGAGGTCTGAGCTTTGCTTACACCTCTACAACACAGTTGTCCTCAAAGATTCGTTAAGTTATACCATGAATTAAGGAAAGATCCTGGACTTCACCTTACGAAAGCAGACAAAGCAAATATGATAGTAATTATGGACAAGATAGATTATAGGGGGAAAAATTAAACATGATATAAGGAGATAAGGAAACTCACGCGCCATGAAGCATCACACTGAAGCCAGAGAGACTTGGTACACCCACAAACATTTATCACTTATGGTTAATAATAATAATAACAATAATAATAATAATAATAATAATAATAATAATAATAATAATAATAATATCTTTATTTACTACCAGTAGATGTACAAGGTATACTGACCATAGCTGACATCAATAACATACTACTATATAGAAAGCCCCTTGTTATGCTGACTATTTCGGGCAAATTAGGTCAGTGTCCCAGGATGCGACCCACACCAGTCGACTAACACCCAGGTACCCATTTACTGACGGGTGAACACAGACAACAGGTATGAAGAAACACGCCCAATGTTTCTACCCTGGCTGGGAATTGAACCCAGATCCTCGCCGTGTGAAGAGAGAGCTTTAGCCACCAGAGCAAACAATTAGATTTTATCGTAGAAAGAAAAAAGAAACAAGCATCAAATAATCACTTGATTACTCTTCCTTATATTTTCAAAGGGAAAACAGAAAACGTCTGTTTATTTGTGTGTGTGTGTGTCTGAGAGGGAAGGAAGGTGGGAAGGAGGGAAGGAAGGAGAGGATGGAAGGAGGGAAGGAGAGGAGGGAAGGAAGGAAGGAGAGGAGGGAAGGAGGGTGGGAGGTCAAAAAGGTGTGTGGGTCTTATGTCTTAACTGGAGTGTGACAAATAAGCCATGACTTGACCACAATGCGCCTCATTTGTCTTGTGTTGAGACCCCCACCTACGCCCCCCTCCCCCACCAACGCCCCCCCCTCCCCCTCACCCACACCACATTACCCGCGCTTTTTGCACCTCACTTTTCCCGCGCTGCTATTTTATACCTTTTCCCGCGCTTTTTGTACGTCGCCTTTTTCCCGCGCTTTTCGTACGTCACCTTTTTATACCGTTTCCTGTGCTATGTAAACCTCACATTTTCCTGAGCTACTTTATACCTTTTCTTGCACTATTTTATACCTTTTCTCGCGCTTTTTATTTCTCATTCTCTTTTATGCCTTTTCCCGGACTTTTTACACATTTTCCCCAGCTCCTTTTTCCACATTTTCCCGCGTTTCCCGCTCCTTTTTGTATATCTTCTTTTATCACCTTCACTTCCGTTTCCTCTTAAACCTGTGATAAACCTCAGTGTATCATATGACCTCTTAAACCTGTATTACATGACCTGTTAAACTGTAACCAACCTCAAGTGTATTATATGACCTTTCAAACTGTGACCAACCTCAAGTGTATTATATGACCTTTCAAACTGTGACCAACCTCAAGTGTATTATATGACCTTTTAAACTTGTGATAAACCTGTATTATATAACCTGTTAAACCTCAGTGTATTATATGACCTCTTAAACCAGTGATAAACCTCAGTGTATCACACAACCTTGAAGACCTGGAGGCCTGGTCGTGGACCGGGCCGCGGGGGCGTTGATCCCCGGAATAACCTCCAGGTAACCTCCAGGTAAGACGTCTACCAAGTTAAGAATTGACCCACGACAAAGATTAAAGAGGAAACTGTTTGTTGACATCACACCGAAATATTTCTTTGTGGTGAACGATGTGATTGCGAGTGTCATAAAGTTTCGGAACACTTGGTGGCCGACAAGAGAACGTCAAGTGACTCCTGGATGAACTGTAAGTGCGGAGACTCCGCTATTTTAGGTCGACTGCAGTTGGTTCGGTTTATTTTCTGGTCAAATATGACTCCTTTGAAGAGCACGTCAGCAAGGTCTCTCCAGACCTCTGGAGAGACGCACTCTTTATCTCGGGAGACCTCTTGCTGTCCAGGTTTGTGTCTCTTGTTATGGTTTATGTCTCTTGTTGTGAAGGTTTGTGTCTCTTGTTATGGTTTGTGTCTCTTGTTGTGGAGGTTTGTGTCTCTTGTTATGGTTTGTGTCTCTTGTTGTGGAGGTTTGTGTCTCTTGTTATGGTTTGTGTCTCTTGTTGTGGAGGTTTGTGTCTCTTGTTATGGTTTGCGTCTCTTGTTATGGTTTGTGTCTCTTGTTGTGGAGGTTTGTGTCTCTTGTTATGGTTTGTGTCTCTTGTTGTGGAGGTTTGTGTCTCTTGTTATGGTTTGTGTCTCTTGTTATGGTTTGTGTCTCTTGTTGTGGAGGTTTGTGTCTCTTGTTATGGTTTGTGTTTCTTGTTGTGGAGGTTTGTGTCTCTTGTTATGGTTTGTGTTTCTTGTTGTGGAGGTTTGTGTCTCTTGTTATGGTTTGTGTGTCTTGTTGTGGAGGTTTGTGTCTCTTGTTATGGTTTGTGTTTCTTGTTGTGGAGGTTTGTGTCTCTTGTTATGGTTTGTGTTTCTTGTTGTGGAGGTTTGTGTCTCTTGTTATGGTTTGTGTGTCTTGTTGTGGAGGTTTGTGTCTCTTGTTATGGTTTGTGTCTCTTGTTATGGTTTGTGTCTCTTGTTGTGGAGGTTTGTGTCTCTTGTTATGGTTTGTGTCTCTTGTTGTGGAGGTTTGTGTCTCTTGTTATGGTTTGTGTCTCTTGTTGTGGAGGTTTGTGTCTCTTGTTATGGTTTGTGTCTCTTGTTGTGGAGGTTTGTGTCTCTTGTTATGGTTTGTGTCTCTTGTTGTGGAGGTTTGTGTCTCTTGTTATGGTTTGTGTCTCTTGTTGTGGAGGTTTGTGTCTCTTGTTATGGTTTGTGTCTCTTGTTGTGGAGGTTTGTGTCTCTTGTTATGGTTTGTGTCTCTTGTTGTGGAGGTTTGTTTCTTAATATGTTTTGTTGTGAAGTCTAG